ATTTGACTCAAACTCATGCAAAAATTAGAAAGACTTGAGGAATAAGCTTTCCCCCACCTTTCATTGCCAACCTAGATTGACATAAGTTATTGTACTGTATATATATTGACCATCCCTTTCTTAGTATGTTTATGTATGGCTTTTTCTCCAATTTGAGATCACCTTCTTGTCTGTTTTACTCAGAAAATATTTGGCAGCATCCAGATCTGATGAATATGATTTATTCAATGCCTCAGATTTTTCAGTTTTTATAGACCACGGCCTCCCACAGCCCCACTGGGATAGAACTAACAGTTTAGCTTCAATGGTTGTATTTTACCCCCTACTGGACAGCAGTAATCTTTCTTGACAACAGCCTGTTTTTCAAGCTACCTTCTGGAAACTCTGGAAAGCTGAATTATTAATGGTTACATAGCAAGAGTGAAACCATGTAAATTTAACTACTTTTAACAAGTAATTGAAAAGTTGAATCATGTAGATTGGACATATGTGCATGCTTGGACATCTGTGCATGTTGCAAAGATTTCATGTTAATACTTGGGACACCCTTCAGAGTTTTTTTTTCTTTTCTTTCAGAGTTTCAGAGTCATCACCACCAAATGGATTCGCAACTGGCTGACAGACCATACTCAATGAGTAGTCCTTAATGGGTCTAAGTCTACATGGTGGGAAGTAAGCAGTGGGGTACCACAAGGTTCTGTCTTAGACTCAGTACTCTTCAATATCTTCATAAATGACTTAGATGAGGGAATAGAAGGGGAACTTACCAAATTTGTAGATGATACTAAGCTAGCGGGAATAGCTAACACCCTAGAAGATAGGCTCAAGATCCAGATGGATCTTGACAGACTTGAACACTGGGCCCTATCTAACAAAATGAAATTCAATGTAGAGAAAAGTAAAGTCTTACACTTAGGCAAGAAAAACCAAAAATACACATATAGACTGGGTGAAACCAGGCTTAATAGCAGTAACTGTGAGAGGGATCTTGGAGTCTTAGTGGACAACCAGCTAAATATGAGCCAGCAGTGTGCAGCAGCAACCAAAAAAGCCAATGCAATCCTAAATTGCATTAACAGAGGGATACAATCAAGATCAAGTGAGGTACTAATACCACTCTATAAAGCCTTAGTAAGACCACACCTGGATTACTGCATCCAGTTTTTGACACCACATTGTAAAAAAGGTTTTCAGACTAGAAAAAATGCAGAGAAGAGCAACCAGGAGGATTAGGGGACTGAAAGCTAAAACATATGAAAAACAGTTACAGGAACTCGGCATAGCTAGTCTAGTGAAGAGAAGGACCAGGGGAGTCATGATAGCAGTCTTCCAATATTTAAGGGGCTGCCACAGAGAGGAAGGGGTCAAGCTATTTTCCAAGGCACCTGAAGGCCAGACAAGGAATAATGAATGGAAACTGACCAAGTAGAGATTCAACCTAGAAATGAGAAATTTTCTGACAATGAGAACAATCAACCTATGGAACAGCTTGCCTTCGGAAGCTGTGGGAGCTTCATCACTTGAGACTTTCAAGAAGAGATTGGACTGCCATTTGTCAGAAATGGTGTAGGGTCTCCTGCTTGGACAGGGGGTTGGATTAGATGATGTACAAGGTCCCTTCCAACTCTGCTAATCTGTAATCTGTAAATCATCTAAACATGAGTATCAATTGTGATTAAGGTATGTTACTCAACCCCAATGTAATCCATGACCTACATCTATAAGTCACACTGGGCTTAATTAAGCAATGGCTTAGCATGCTGTGCAGACCAGCCTGGGCTAACTGAAGCTATATGTGTACATATGAACATGGGCAGCTTTCCAGAAAGATAAAAAGGGGTTTTCCCCCCTCTAAACTAAAGGAGTTTTACAGGCATTTTTTTAAAAGAGATTTTTTAAAAGCCCTCAGAAGGCCTATTAAATGGAACCGAGAAGAAATCTATTCATCTGTATAATGATCAAAGAGTTTAGTACACAGCAGTCCCATTTGATGAGACTAAGAACAACTTGTAATAGTGTTAGAAGGAAGTACGGTCTGGGTAAAACCTGTGAAGTAAATATCACCAAGTCATAGCTTTGAATTAGTCTGTTAAGGTGAGTTTTCTATTTTATCATTGGTTGAATGCACACACATAAAAGGTAATGTGGCTTGTTTGGGTCATGCTTTAGCATGTTGTGTCAACTTCACTAAATTACTGTTTTTAGCAAACCATGGTTTAGAGCAGGGGTGAAATGCTCCTGGTTCGGATCAGATCACCAGATCCGGTAGCGATGGAGGTGAGTGGAAAAATCCCTGCCCACCCCCATACCCAGCTGAGCCGCACAATCATCAGAGGCTTTTTTTTTAACTTTTAAAAGGATTTTTTCTACAACCTCTTTGGCCAAAAAAATGCTTTTAAAAGTAAAAAAAAAATGGCCATGCCCACCCAGTCACATTACCCACCACCACCAAGCCACACCCACAGAACCAGTAGTAACAAATTTTAGATTTCACCACTGCTTTAGAGTGATACATGGAGCCAGCTGTGGCTTAAATTATGACAACATGATGCTTAGATCAGAGTTTGTGGTTGAAATGGCCAATAAGGTGCCTTTAGAAATTCTGGATTATCACCCCAACCAGAACATCCAGGAATTAGGTAAATATATCTTCCTGTTCATATATCCAATATTGGTGTCAGGCTCCAAATAATGCATCCATTACAAATCGAATTCCGAGGCATTAATGTTGCATCTCTTCCTGGCAGAAGTGGTCAAATTTTGTATGTACCTGAGGATAGCAGTAAAGGTCCTCTCTAACAGCAAAAAATGCACTCACTTTTTCATGAAGCTTTCTTTAGTATGTTGCCTAGGTGGCGGAGTAGCACAGCGAGCTGGAACAGGATTATGTTCTCAAATTCAGAGGTACCCAGGATTTGATATTCAGAGCAGAATTTTATAAAACAGCTTACATAAAAAATCACGAAAGAAAACAAACTCTGGTTCTTGCCGCATACTAAACCAGTATTTATTTATTATTTATTTATTAATCAAATTTCTATACCGCCCTACTCCCGAAGGACTCAGGGCGGTGAACAGCCAAGATAAAATACAAATAATACAAATATTAAAAAATCCCTTAAAATTATTAAATATTTTGGCCGAAACATAGATTAAAACACCCAATTTATAAAATCACAAATTAAAAATTTAAAAGAGGAGAGTTAGGCCAGGCCAGCCTGCTGAAATAAAAAAGTTTTGAGAGCACGATGAAACGTGCGCAGGTCCGGGATCCTCCGTATCTCTGGGGGGAGCTCGTTCCAGATGGTAGGTGCCCCCACAGAGAAGGCTCTCCCCCTGGGGGCCGCCAGTCGACACTGTTTGGCCAACGGCACCCTGAGGAGCCCCTCTCTATGGGAGCGTACTGGTCGGTGAGAGGCTATTGGTAGCAGAAGGCGGTCTCGTAAATACCCCGGTCCGATGCCATGGAGCGCTCTAAAGGTGGTAACCAAAACCTTGAAGCGCATCCGGAAGACCACCGGGAGCCAGTGCAGCTAGCGCAGGAGGGGGGTCACATGGGAGCGCCACGTCGCTCCCATAACCACCCGCGCGGCCGCATTCTGGACCAGCTGGAGCCTCCAGGTAATCCTCAAGGGGAGCCCCATGTAGAGAGCATTGCAGTAGTCCAGACGGGAAGTAACGAGAGCATGAGTGACCGTATTTAACGAGTCCCAATCCAGAAAGGGACGCAACTGGCAAATCAGGCGGACCTGATAAAAAGTCCCCCTGGCCACGGCCGTCATGTGCTCTTCTAAAGACAGCCGTGAGTCCAGGAGGACACCCAAGTTGCGAACCCTCTCCGTGGGGGCCAATGACTCGCCCCCAATAATCAGTGATGGCACCAACTGACTATATCGGGATGTTGGAAACCACAGCCACTCGGTCTTGGATGGGTTGAGCCTGAGTCTGTTTCTCCCCATCCAGATCCGCACGGCCTCCAGGCACCGGGACATCACTTCAAGGGCATCATTGGGGTGGTCCGGGGTGGAGATGTGCAGCTGAGTATCATCAGCGCACTGATGGTACTTCACCCCGAAACCACGGATGATCTCACCCAGCGGCTTCACATAAATGTTGAACAGAAGGGGTGAGAGAACCGACCCTTGTGGCACCCCACATACAAGGGCCTCGGGGTCGACCTCTGCCCCCCTGTCAACACGGACTGCGACCGGTCAGAGAGAAAGGAGGAGAACCACCGTAGGATGGTGCACCCCACCCCTAACTCCTCTAGCCGGTGCAGCATGATACCATGGTCGATGGTATCAAAAGCTGCTGAGAGGTCTAATAGGACCAGGACAGAGGAACAACCCCTGTCCCGAGCCCTCCAGAGATCATCAACCAATGCGACCAATGCCGTTTCCGTGCTGTACCCAGGCCTGAAGCCCGACTGGAACGGATCCAGATACGACGATTCATCCAGGTGCTGGGGGAACTGTCGCGTATCATACAAACTATCTTAGTTTAATATGTGAACTCAACAGCAGTGGTTAATGAATCACGGTTTATGTTTTAGCATATTACCACAATAGAATTTAGACCTATATACTGCTCCACAGTGCTTTACAGCACACACTGTGCAGTTTACAATGTCAGCATATTGCCCTCAACAATCTAGGTCCTCATTTTATGGACCCCTGAAGGATGGAAGGCTGAGTGAATACTGAGCAGGTTAGGATCAAACTCCTGACAGTGGACAGAATCAACCTGCAATACTGCATTCTAACCATGGCATATGAAACCAGCCAACTGTTTTAGGAATAAACAATGGTATAGTATGAACTTGAGTCACCCAGGTAAGAGCAGAAATAGGGTAGTTACTGAAATGAGTACAGCTCAATAGATTAAAACAGTTTATGAATCCAAAAATAGGAGTTCTGTCATTAATTTACTTGTCAATCTGAAAATCCCCACTGGAAACTGGGAGAGACAAAGCGTCTAAATAAGCAACAGAAGCAGAGAGCTATTGATCTACCAAAGTAGGTTCATTTTTAATAGTAAACATTCTTTATTCCAAAAGCAGAATTCCAAAAGATAAGAATTTGCATATAAGAAGGTATTCTATATTTAAATTTTCTTTCAAGATAGCAGAATCCTGTACCTTACTGCTAAAAGTGAATCCTATTAAGGTTTTGTTCCCTGGGTATACAATTGGTATTAAATGGTATTAGACTTTTGTTAAACAATAGGCAGACTACTGACAGTGACAAATCATAAAACATTGTTATAAAAATCTAACTTGGCACAACCCAATTAATATTGCATCAAGATTTTAAAACAGAAATGACAATTTATGCAAATAATTTGCTCTAATTTAAATATCCCTTCACAGTTATCGGACAATCTAATTTATACTTCAAGAGGGCATTCTGTATCTGGTTGTTTCTAGAGGAATGGTACACACTCCAAAGGATTGATTTCTGGTCATTTCCAAGCTCTTCCTCGGAGCAAAATCAGCATTTTAGGAGAAAGCATTGGAACCAGCTAGAGCAGTGGAGAGTCTACAGGCTCTCCAATTGCAAGGCAATGAATGCCAAGTTCACCCCGGTGCAGATAACACAAGCCAGATTGCAGAGAGAAGACAAGCCATGAAACTTAAAGAACTTCTGGCGCAGGTGCCGATATTTGCTGTCTTTTTCCTTCAGAAGTTGGTAAGCCTCTCGCTGACCTGAATTTCCCACTTCCTGTCCGAGCCCATGCTCCTTTTCAATCTCTTGCATCTTAAGCATGGTCTTGGTGGTGACTTGCGAGAACCAGGAGGCATTAATGGCAACCAAAATGAGGCAAATAAAAAAAAGTGTGATCTATAAGAAAGACAAAAAGTATCATGACCACTTCTGGATTCCAATTTACTATGTGTAATTTTCTTGGGAGTCTTTTTATTTAAGTTCTGGAGTTACATTCTTATTTCTAGGAAAAATGAAAGGGCAGTTGATGAACCTGATTATCCTCATTTTTAAGAGTCAATTAGCTACATAGTCCAAAAAGTATTAATGAAAATGATGTATATATTTTAAATTTATTTTAAATTAACTTCCCACCAATGTTCCTCCACAATTCTGTGAGGCAGGTTGCTGACAGAATATGATTGGCCTAAAATTAGAGTCAGCTTTCCACATTCATCATCATCATCTTTTAATTTATGGGGTCCATAATCCCTTGCGGGGTGGATTCTGGGCAACTAAATGGAGCAAGCAGAGTGTTTACTGGATGCCCTTCTTGTCGTTAGTGCCCAGAGAGAGAAATATCTGCCTCTACCGATTGAACTCACAGCCTCCTGATTGTGAGGCAAGAGCTCTACCTCTAGGCCACCACACCACTCATCAGCTTTCCACATTACACACTATTGATTCTATATATATTAAAGGAACTAGTGCAATATGAATGCTAACTTTTCTGTGCCTAGGATCAGCTCCAACAAAACACCAGTGCTTCAGAAATATTGCAAAATCTGCTGACCAGCAGAGTTGTACGGTTGTCAATCACTTGTGTTCTTGACATTTTGCTCAGTACACAGATTATTTCCCATGATCCAAAGAGATTGTGGTGAAAAATTAAGGGGAGGAACCGTAGGTTTTCAGTGATGTTTCAACTAATTCTTTAAGGACATTATCAGATAAATATGTGGTTCACATAGTCTACACATAACATCTGTATGCTTTCTCCAAGATTTTTATTTTATTGCCTCAAAACAAAGTTTTGGGGAGCTAAATACAATTATTTTCTAGATAAAGTCTGCAAGGAGCAGAAGAAAATGCATATTGCATAGTATCTTTTTCAACCACTATGATCCTTTCATTTCGGTTTGTTTTGTTGATCTTGAGTACGATTAGCTGCCAATATGGTGGTTAGCTGCCAATATGCCAACATGACCACTCAAAACAGGTTTTTTCAGTGCTAACAATATTCAGCTGCTTCCCTGATATACTCATATATCAACAGGGAAGTAGATATATACTGAGCCTATTTTTACTGTGAATGGTGAAAAAAAGGAGAGAAATTCCCTGAGGATGGGCTCCAGCATGAGTCCGAAAGCTCAGAAGAGTAAACCTCTGGTCCCAATGACCAACCCAGATTGGATCGTGAAAAAAATTAATTTAACATCCCACCACTCACTAAATACTTTTAAAGCCCCAGGCAATTATTCTGCTTCACGTCCCAGCCCCATGTATTTTCTTCCAAGTCAAAAGTTCTACTTGGAGGAAAAGATATAAATAAAACTTGTACCTTTTTAGGCAGCACTACAGTTGTACTTTGAAAGCCCCTACCTTATCTGCCCTTAAGAATTTCTCTCTAGGATTCAGATGTGCTAGACAAGAATCTGGTTGGTTTGGTTTTAGATTAGCATGTTGCATGAACACAGCCACTGAAGCTGTAAATTTAGAGTTATGACTTAGTATGTATTATGTGAATCCAGTTAATTGTGATTAATTCAGTAAACAGCTCAAATAGTAGCATCATAGTCCCTTCAGTGTTCTCACTCTTGTTGCTCTTAGCATGACAGAGAAGGCTGTTTTATAAGAAATGAAATCATTTATTTATTAATTGCATTCTATATTTGAAAAATGTGCCCAGAATGACTTAGGAAGAGCTTGTAATGCAGCATATATTATCCTGGAATCTACTCTGCATAGCAAAATTACACTAAACAAGAAATTACAGTAAGACTGAAGCACTCACACTCAATTTTCCCAGAGGTGGGAATGGTGACGAAATGAAAAAGCATTGCATGCTAAATATTATGTCTTTCTGTAGTAAAATATTACAAAATATATGTTAATTCAGTAGAGTTCTTAATTGATAAATTATAAAAAAGGGCTTTATGGCATCTTAAAGACAATCAAATTTATTATACCAAATTAAAGGCATATTTAAAGTGCCACAAAATATTCTGCTGCAAAGGTTATACATAACTATCCATCTAACAAGAATTATTAATTTATTATAAAACATTTTATACGAACTTTTGCTTTTCTTCTGAAATACAGCCGTGAAGGCTGAGAGCAAATATGATAGTGCTCTAAATACACCCTCTCTGAGTTGAAATATTCTAGAAGATTTAGAAATGTTATATAGACGGGGGACAGGGAGAGAGGCAGAAAGCAGAATTGCAATCCTAAACCAGTTTATTCAGAAGCCCACTAAATACAAATACGGACCTATTCAGTTTGAGATATTGTATTATCTCTGTTTATCCTTAATGAATGTCACTATGTCACTATCATTCTGCTTACCAAATCCTTTAACCAAGAAGGCTGCTAACAGTTCATCTCATAAGAATCTGGCCATGGACATTTGTAGATGTAAAGCATTCTGAAACTAAAATTGCTACCCAGAGAATCAAACATCAAGGCCTTTCCCCCCATCAACAGCTATCACTTGTGTAGCTACAGAATTGAATGATAAGTAATTATGGCTTTTCTGTATGTCCTGTAATGTAAATATATCTACTGGTATATGCCATTATGACTATCTTTAATCTGAAGCAGTTGGTGCTGCAAAGGTCTCAGGAAGAACATGGAAGAATATACATGAAAAAGTATCAGAGCATTAAAATGATATAGAAAAAGAGGGATTTAAATAGGAGATAATGGAACTCTTCTAAGAGATCTAATTTGAACAGTGAGACTGCTAGATCAATGCAGCCAAGAAGATATTTTATAAAGAATAAGATGACCTCTTAACCTCAGATGTGTTAGGAAATTTGAATGCTGATAATATGACAAGCTGAAGTCAATTTCAGAATGTGCCTATATAGTTTCTGCCTGCATGCCTGTCCTGAATGAAAAACTGCAGGGTTTAGATAATTAATTGCTACTTACCTGAACAGTTTCTCTGGTGCTGAGAAGTTCCCGTGGATGGTATGCAGCAAATATGGCAAGATTAAGGAACGTGCAGCCAAGTAAGGTGTAGAAATAGAAGGGAAACAATTTGCCCTGTACCAGACCAAAGGTGTGCCGGCTCACAGTTCGGAAAAGAACAAAACCTAGAGACAAAGAAGGGATGGGTTACATGGGAAAACACATCCTTTTCTTTAAGTAGTGGAAGAGAAGTTCAGATTTCTACATAAAAATTGGGCATTGGACTTTCATACAGCTAACTAAGAAAACAATAGAGTGATGTTGGCAGCAGTGACAGGAGCTGGAAGTCTAAGCTTTCAAGGGTATTGGGTTCAGAAAAACCAGGTTAGAGGTAGGTACTGGCAAATTTGGAAAACATGGATGTTTCTCTCCTTCCAACACATACTTTCTCTAACCCAGCCTCTGTCATACAGAAGAATATTCTAAATTAGCTCCCTTCCTGCCCTACAGACATACCTGCGATGAAGGTTACCCATATCTGCATTCCCCAGGCTGTAGAGAGGAGAAAAAGCTGGGTGATTCGGATAAGGCCACTTGGCTCACCTTCCATCGGCATCTCTGAAGCAAGATACACAGGGAAGAAAAGGAGTGAGAAAAGGGAAGAACAAGGAGACATATCCAAGGGTGGGTGATCTAAGGCTTGGCCTTAGCCATATTGCTAAGCCTGATAATTGCCCAAAATGTGTGATATGATACCAACTATGCTGTGATGGAAAACATACCAAAAGTATGTTTACTTTTGTATATGCCCTGAATTGTATATGTATATGTAAAGGACTTTTTTAAAAAAAGTACAGTAATTGTTTTACTATCTATTTTGATTAATTACTGCAAATTGTTTCAATATGTTAAATCCTCAAACGTGTACCAATGTTACTTCTGACAATGTTATCAAGATGTATCTCATTTTGCTAATAGACATATAAATCATGGGAACCAGTCATACTTTCACTATATTGAACATCTAAACATTAATCTCCCAAAGAACCTCCACTGCCAGATAGTTCGAAAGAGCAGCAGGCAGGCAGCGATAAGAGTTGGAAAGGCAAGCAAGCAGGCACGAGGCAGAAGTCACTTGCTAAACACTGCCTGCCACTCTGCCTAAAGCAGCAGCACTCTTAATTGTCAAGAGACTAGATTAAATTTAATCCCCCCCCCCCACAGAGATCCCCTCTGATTGTAGATAAGGCCTGGCTAACTTATTTCACACACTGAATTTGAGGCAGGAAAGGGCCATTATCTACCTACCTACCAACCAACTATCCATCCATCCATCCTATTTGTATGGCCATCCATTTCACAAGAGAGTGACTCGGGTTGGTATTACAGCACTTAATCGGAAAACTATTATATGTGTTTTCATAAATATAAGTGAAAATCATTATTAAAAACTATAAAAAAACATATGAAATGAGATAGGAGCCATTGTAAGATCTCCCTGGTCCCCTAGGGCCCTGAAAGCATAGTCAAGTTTTGAGGGACTTGTTGAATGTTAAGAGGGATGGTGCTAATCTCACTTCTGGGGTGGGAGGTGGGGGGTGGAGAGAAGATTCTATAAGGCGGGTGCTGCAGTGTGGTGAGCTCCTGTTACTTGCCCCAGCTCCTGCCCACCTAGCAGTTTGAAAGCATGCAAATGCAAGTAGATTAATAGATACCACTTTGGTGGGAGGATTATAGCATTCTGAGTGCCTTTAGTATATAGCCATGCTGGCCACATGATCATGAAAATTATCTTCAGACATTGCTGGCTTCCTCAGTCAAGAAATGGAGATGAGCACTGTGTCTTAGAGTTGGACACAACTGACCGGGAAATCTTTAACTTTTTACAAGAGAGAAGGCCTGCCTCCTGGGACGGGACTTGCAGCATGTCTTCTCTGTCAGATCTGATGGGATGGGCAGATGTAATTAGGGTTGGCCAGTCCCTCAGATAATCTGGCCCCATGCCATATAAGGCTTTAAAGGTCAATATCAGCATTTTGAATTGGGGGCAACCAGAAGCAGACTGGCAACCAATATGTGCTTTTCTAGGCATACACATCCTGCACAGCCTGCACCACTGCTTTCTGCACAGATGAAGCTTCCAGATAAGTTTCAAGGGCAGTTGTATGTAGAGCACATGACAGAAGTCCAAATGGGAGGTGACTAGGTTGTAAGCGACAGTGAGCAGAGCCCTCCCTCGACCCAGGAATAAGTACAACTGGTGCTTTGCACACAAAGATGTGCAAAGGCCTTCCTAGCCACAACTGCCACCTGCTCTTTGAATAAGAATTGTGAGTTAGGAGGGACCTCAGATTGCACACTGTGTCTGAGGCAGTGCCACCCCATCCCACACCAAAGATGGCATAGTCCTAAAATTGGAAGGCTCCAAAACTTTAAGTCACTCAGTCTTGCCAAGGTTCGGCTGAAGCCTATTGTTCCCCATCAAGACCATCACAGCCTCCAGGTATCAGGATAAGACACCCACAGTATTGCTTAATTCTCCACAGCAGAGATGTATAATTAGGTGTCATCAGTGTACTGTACTGATGATACCTCATCCTGTGGCAACAGATGAGCTTACCCAGTGGTCTCATGTAGATGTTGAATAGGAGAAGAAAGAGCATAGAACCCTTGTGGCATCCCACATGGTTTGGGGCTGTTGGTGGGATCTCCCTTCCCCTACCATCAACTGGAATCAGTCCCGGAGAAAGGAAGTAGAACAGCACAACACTGTGTCCTCCTACCCCTGAGCCAATCCAGAAGTTGATGGTATCAAAAGCTGCAGGGAGATCATGTAGGGCAAGGATGGTTGCACAATTGCCACCCTGTTTTCACCAGAGATCATCCATTTTGAATTTTAAAAAATGATGCGGGGGGGGAGGGGGACTGGCTGTGCTTCAAGGTAAAATGCTCTTCTTCAACTGCTAGTTTTATTTTCCTAAGGTTTTAGGTCTGTATGGCTACAGAAATTAGATTTCAACAACACACTAAATTCTGGCTAGGTTTACAAGCCATTTAACTTATTTTAGCCCAATATTTCCTGGCCTCAGCCTATGGCCGTGATGGCGAACGTATGGCACGCGTGCCACAGGTGGCACCTGGGGCCATATCTGTGGGCACACGAGGGTTGCCCTAGCTCATCTCTGGTGCGCCTGCACACACCAGCCAGCTGATTTTGGACCTTCTGGGCCCACTGGAAGTCAGGAAACAGGCTGTTTCTGGCTTCCGGAGGGCCTCCAGGGGGCTGGGGAAGGCTGTTTTCGCCTTCCCCAGGCTCCTAGAAAGGCTCTGGAGCCTGAGGAGGGCAAAAAACGGGCCTACTGGGCCCACCGGGCGATCACGTACCAAGTGGGGGGAGCGCAGGGGGGTTGCGTGCGGGGGAGCGGGGTGCATTGAATTATGGGTGTGGGCACACACGCACGACCCCCCCTCCACTTTTGGCATGCGACGCCAAAAAGGTTAGCCATCACTGGCCTATGTTGTTCATTTATGGTTCAGTATGTTTTGTGGATCCAGAAAATGTTAAGTATTTTGCCTTCCTGTTAAAAGTTGCCTGATTAACACTTTCTTGGTGGCATCCACGATTCTTTCTCAAAATCCCAAATGTTCCATCAGCCCCTAAGATCGAGGATGGCTGAGTTTCTACACATCCCTGGAATTAAACTAATTTTCCAATACACAAAACCATACTTTGACTGATAACATGAACATTGGCTGCATATCTAAACTATGACTGGCTGTCGTGTTTACTATCCAAAGGAAGAACTGAAGACACATAGCAGAGCTCTTCAAACAAGCATTGATGAATGCCACAGATTTTGAGGCGATTCACTTCTAAAAAACATTGCTCAGTACACGCTGCCTTGACATCTCCGACCCCCAAAGAAGGCCGCCGCTTCGGGAGCGGTGCAGATTGGTCTGTTTGACACCACCAGCCGGGGGTTCCGGGATCGCTTTCGCGGCATCATGCTAATGCCCGCTGACTTGCGACTCGGTCCTCCAGGCTCCGGAGCTTATTTCTCGGGGGAGATAAATCAGGACAAGTCAATTGGGAAGGAGACTTAAGGTAAAGCAGCAGGAACGAAGCCAGCATACCCGCTTTCCCAGCACTTTCTCCTCCTTCCCGTTTCCGTCACCCTCCCGCAGACACATTTTGGCACAGACAAGCCGACAAGGGCTCTTCTGGTCCAGGGCACTCGGGAAGGAAGGGGCAAAGTTCAAGGCAAACTCGGGAAGGGGAAAGTCACTGAAGTCGAAAAACTGGAAAGGGAGAAAGGAGCTTTCGCAATGAACAAGAACCCAAAGGGACAACTCCGCACACGAATCTTGCCCTGAACACTGAAAGGCAGAAGGCTGCAGGACTCAAATGCACTCTCCCACCGCCAGAAAAAGCAGCGTGAATGCTGCTCTCTTCCCTGCGCTGCCCCGGAAAGAGCACCCAGGCCACGATGCCCCAACCGCGATTTCCCCAGCAATCACCCACCTCTTCCGACTCTTCACTGCAGCGTCTCGGTTAGCGGCTTTGCCCCCGTGCTCCTTAGCAAGTAGGCCCCGCCCTCTGCATTCAGAAGAGGAAGCGTCATGAAGGGAGGCGTGGCCACGGCTGACCACGCCCCTTTGTTTGCACATTGACTCGCTGCTAAACCCTCTTCCCCGCTTTCTGGTTTGGGTCAGGAGACCATCAACAGAGCTGGATGATGGACGGGAAGATGGTCACAACGGTAAAGGACTCACAGGGTGGTGTAGGGACAGACCCCAAGGGCAAGAATTCAGGACCGGCTGAAAGGGGGGATCCAAAGCCCTTTTCTCCCCCTGTTCGAGAGGTGCAGATCTTTCTTCACGCCTCCTTTAAGCACCGCAGCCTTCCTGCACTTCTTTCCTGCCTAGAAAGCCTGAAGTGCCGATCCTGGATCAGTGCACGAAACAAGGAGTGCTGAATGACAGGCCGTCCCCAGCAAGAAACTGTGCGAACTTAGTCTAAATCTAAAACATATGTGTAGTAGATGTATGGTTACCCTATTGCTGCCTGTCACCTTAATGTCTATGGAGATTCTCAGTCATACAGGTCATAGTTGTCCCAAAGGTGCTTTTTTCAAGAGGCAGCTGGACTTCCTGGTTTTTCTTTGGAGACATTTCACTTCTCATCCAAGAAGCTTCTTCACTTCTGACTGGATGGTGGGGAATGGAGGGATTTATACTCCTTGCAGACAGTTGGTCATTTGCATTCTTTTAGAGAGTTGTTGAGGCCACCTGGGGGTTTATCTGTGATCTCAGGGTCACCTGAGTAGTGCAAATGGATGTGGAGCCTTCTTAGAACTGTTGAAAGGATTGTGTTGTAGATTGGAGATAGATGATGCCATATCCTTCCCCCTCTGTTGAGAGAGGGTTGTCCAATTTTGACATAGATGGCCTCTTTAACCCCTCTTTCAAACCAGCGATACTCTCTGTCCAAAATGGGACTTTGCTGTCTTCAAAAGAGTGGTCTGTGTCTTTTAAATGCAGATGGACTGCTGAATCTAGTCCTGAAGGGCTTATTCACCTATGTTGTGCCATGCATTTATGAAATGGTCGTTTCATTTGCCAATGTACAGATCTGCACATGGCTCACTGCATTGTATTGCATATACCACGTTGCTCAGTTTCTGTCTTAGTGTTGTATCCTTGGGGTGGGCAAGTTTCTGCCTTAGTGTATTTTTGGGCACATATGTTATGTTGGCTGAAGATCCTCCTGAGCTTTTCCGATATGTCTGCAACGTACAGAATGATAACATTGCTTCGTTTATTGTTCTCTCCATTGTCTGTTACAGAGGAGCTCCTGTAGGGTCTTTTTTGAGATTTGATGAAGTCCCACTTGGGATAGCCACATGTTCTGAGGGCTTCCTTGGTGTGTTTACATTCTTTTTCTTTCCCATCTTTTCTGGTAGGCAGGCCTTCAGCTGGTAGGCAGATTTGTACATTGGGGAAATGAAACAACCACTTCATAAATACATGGCACAACATAGGAGAACAAACCCATCAGGACTAGATTCAGCAGTCCATCTGCATTTAAAAGACAAAGGTCACTCTTTTGAAGACAGCAAAGTCCACATTTTGGACAGAGAGGACCACTGGTTTGAAAGAGGCCAAAATTGGACAACCCTCTCTCAACAGAGGGGGAGGGATATGACATCATCTATCTCCAATCTACAACACAGTCCTTTCAACAGTTTGAAGAAGGCTGCACATCCATTTGCACTACTCAGAAGACCCTGATGACACAGATAAACCTCCAGGTGACCTTAACCCCCCGCTAAAAGAATGCAAATGACCAGCTGTCTGCAAGGAATATAGAACCTTACATTCTCAACCACCCAGTCAGAGCTGAAGAAGCTTCTTGGATGAGAAGCGAAACATCTTCAAAGAAAAACCAGGAAGTCCAGTTGCCTTTTGAAAAAAGCACCTTTGGGTGTTCCCTTCTTAATTTGGGGAGACAAGAAAAAGCACTGGCATTTCAAATTCACTGGACTCGCTACTGTAGAATGGCTCCCAAGCAAATGCACAGGCTATACTCATACAAGACAATTCCTAAAATTTTGAATACCCTCAATTGGTCCTCTCCCAATACCACTCCGATACTCCCATGCTGTGTTGTTAGATTTCACTTTTGGAATGATGAGTGATGAACTTGGTAATACCTACCTCATACCCTTGGATGGATACTAGCATTCTAGAAAATATAATCTCAAGAGAATGGATTTTATTAAATGGATAAAATTGATTTATACTTCCCAAAGACAATTGTAAATTGAAATAATTGTAAATGGAGAAAATAACCTTATGAGATAAGAAAGGGACAAGACACAGATGTCCCTCATTATTATTCATCTTAGCTCTGCAAGTATGGTATTGAATAGACACATAAGATGATGAAATAATTGCTGGAGTGAGGATTAAAAGTGGAATATATAAGTTAAGGGTGTTTGCTGATAATTGATAATAATTTTGAAAAATTCTTTGGAAGAACTAGAAATTTGGTGCATTGATTAGCTGGATTTAAAATTAATGAGAAAATGAAGATGTTAATTAACATGAGGAAGAAGAGCAAAAATACTGTTTTAATGTTTAGGAAAAAGTAAAATACTTAATATTAATATGATTAACATTAATTGCATATTATTTCAGGCCTATAATCAAATTAAGGACATACTAAGATGGAAAAAATTACAATTGCCATTGTTGGAAGGAATTTCTGTGATAAAAATGAATGACCGTTTAAGCAAAACCAAAAGATATACAGTATCTAGGTTTGTATGGCAAGGAAATAAGACAAGTTAAATATAAAATGTGCTAAGATACAAAGAAACAATGAGAATTAGAACTGCCTGGTTAGAAAGTGTATTTTGCAGTCGGCTGCTCAGTTTGAATGAAAGAGTGGGTGCTGCTGAGAAATAAGATAATTTTAGAGCTAGAGGAGCATGACCTGAGGTTTGGATGGCACAATTTTCTACGGTAGGATAAAGTTAAGGTTAATGTAGATTCAAAAATCATTATATTAGAAGTGCCATATTGAGAACATGGAATAAACCCAGATTGTGCCAAAAATGCCTTTATGGGTCTCAGCATAAGAAGCATTTTATGTAAAAGGAATAGCCAGCAAAGAAGGATAGTTAGCATATAGAGAGCTATTAGAAAAAGAACATGGAAACTATAAGATGAAATCAATAGATCAGTTGACTGGATTTAACTTTTAATGGTTTTCATACGCACAGTTAAGAGAAATATTTAAGGAAGATAAGAGAACATTTGGAATTGAATAGCACAAGAGCAAATTTGAAATTGAATTATGTACAAATAATTAACATGTAATTGCTAAAACGTATAAACTTGTTGAAATTTGAAGAACAGGTGAAAGAGTATATGATAAGGATCAAAGATAAAGGGTCATTTTATCATGCCTGGTGGACTTGTAAAATAGCTAGAAAATTCTGAGTTCATATACATACAATGATACAAAGAATTTTAAATATTAATATTCATAACTTTGTTGGGACTAATAGATAAACAGTTAGAAAAGAATTATGGAAGACTGTTTTTTATAAACACCATGATAACTGCTGTGAGATTATTATGGTATATGCACTCTGAACGGTATTTCAGAAAGATTCTGTACGGTATTTCAGAAAGATTCTGAAATACCCACAATGGAGGAATGATTGATGAAGATGACAGAATGAACAGAGATGGCAACATTTACTTCTCTGATTAGAGAAAGGGCAATAGCCACATTTATTAGTGATTGGAAGCATCTTATACACTTTTTGCTAAAAAGAACTAGTGAGACTTTATGGGTTTGATAACTAGAAAGGGTAGACTATGGAAAGAAGGAAATTATTTTGTAACCTTAAAGAGAGAGGAGGTAAATATAAATGTAAGATCAGAATCTATTTATAACCTTTTCTTCCCTTGTTTTCCATTTTTTGCACCTTTTTCACACTATTTTTTACTTTTTATTTCAAAATTTGTATTGTTTTTATTCTCTTAAATTTTCTCTAATAAAAATTATATATATATGACCTGAGAGGGCCCATCCATTTGTGTATACCTTTCCAAGAGTAGTTAAACACAGAGAAAATTAAAAGGAAAATACAATATGTAACTGAATAATACATGTTTAACTTCAACAAGGCTTAAAATAATTTTTAATAGTGAAAAGTGAGTGAAATTCTTTACAGCAGAATGTATGTGAGATATAGCCATCTAATAAACAGAATCTATGGGTTAAATATATTTTCACATCATGTCAATAATTGAAGATCCTAATTTATTCAGACCAAGTCTACAGGGGCTATTGGGGAGGGATGGGCATTTACAGTATAGCCCGTGATGGCGAACCTATGGCATGTGTGCCCAAAGTGGCACACGAAGCCATGTTGCCCTGCACGCATGGCCTTGCCTGTTTGTCTTCTGGGTTTCTGGCATACATGCATCCATGATGATCAGATGTCCTTCATGTATGCGGCAGTGCCAAAAACCAGTGTGCGCATGTGCGCCGGCTAGCTGATTGTTGGGTGCGTGCTGGAACCCAGAAGTTCGGCTTTTCTGGAGCACAGCTCCAACGAGCGCGCACATGCACGCACAATGTTTCTGTGCAACCTTTTTGGCACTCGGTGCCAAAAATAATCAGAAATAGGCTTGTAAAGGAAGTTGAAAGAAATAATTGAAACAAGCAAAAGAATAGAACCTCAAACTCCAAATTCCTAGCCAAGTTTCCCTTCTGATCTGAAGCATGTTCATATTTTCCCTTTAAAGGAACAAGCACCTTGTGCTGGTCTTCCAAAATAAAGGATTTGGAAGAAGGCTGGACTCCATTTTCAAGCCCCAGTTTCCTGTACCGGGTTGTTGCTTGCTCTCATATATTTGCTTCTGCTTCTAAATTAAGGTCTCTGTTTCTCTGTCTTAGAGGTCAACTACAATGACACTTGCCAAGAATAGACAGAATCACATCAACTCTCCTAACTGGTGCTTAGCTCGGGCAAGCAGCCCTGCATCAGCGGTAGGTATCTTGTTGGATTTCAAAGATATAGCAAGAAAATCATGTTTGTATTTTGCTCAAGATACATTAGGGGTAAACACTTACTCCTTCAAAATAAAGCCTGCCAAATGGACAAGTAAGCATACATAGCTATGGCCAGGCCTCTGAGCGTACAGTCTCACTTATGCTCTTGAAATCAAAATGATTTAAATTGTTTATCTTGTGGATTGCAGTGGGGTGAGGTGGAGGCTTAAATATCCTGGATCCTGATTTTAAACCATTTTAAACTCAGATTACTCTTATTACAGCCCAAAATATGTATTGTTTTATAGCATGCACGCTATAAAATGCTTAAGAAGTATGCTACTGGTAGAGTCAAAATGCAAATGCAACTTTTCTTCTATGTAGAATCCAAACGGGCATTGCTAGCAAATGACTGCATATAGCATATTAGAAGAAGAGCATGTGAAGGCAACTCTAATCTTATGGGTGTACTTTTTGGGGACTGTGATGGCTGGGGAATTCTGGGAATTGAAATCCACCTATCTTAAAGTTGTTAAGGTTGAGAAATACTGGTAGCATTCTGTGCAGCTAAGAATTGAGCTGCAGTTCATGAAAGTTTATACCTTTAAATGGAATTTGTTAATCAAAAAAGGTGTTACCAGACTCCTGATTGTTTACTCTCTGACTTCTGAAATTCTGACAGAGGATGATCCAATTCTTTTGCAGGCAGAACAATAAAGAGAACACTGATCTTAGTAAAAAAGAAAAGAAATATTCCCAAACAGGCATGAATGAAAGATGTATGGGTAAAGGAATACAGACTGACTTTTTATGAGAAGGGGTTTTGTTGAAAGTAAGCAGCTTATGCCATAAGAGACCTCACTTTTGGAGAGCTTGTTGCTTTATTTGGAATGGATTGATGGGAGTTTACTTTTCCAGGTGGAGTTGGCTGGGTTGGAGCCACAAGGTAGGTGACATGGTCCTTTTTGAGCTTTTGCTAAATCTACCAATTTATTTATTTAAAATATTTATATTATAATTGAAAGGGAGGTAAGATATTAGGGTCAAACATGTCTCCTCTGAGTGGTCATGAAGTAAACAGGGGAAAAAAAATCAGATATTGGACTTTTTCCTTAAAGAGAGTTTCTCTCCCCCTCTTTTCCTACCTCTCTCATTCTTTCTTCTTCTCCTCTTATTTTTCTGGTCCCTTTAACCTGAATGCAGAAGCAATGTACAGACATTTCTGTATTCTCCGGGAATCCCTGAACTTGTTCAGTCCTTGTTCAAGGTTTCTGTGAATATTCTCTCACTCTTGTCTAAGGTGATGCCTTCTTCTTGAATCCCTTCCTGTTTACTTTGAGCCAGTGTCCTTCAGGATTAGAAGTTCAATCATTGTCCATGCTAGCAATGATGATGGGAATAGCAATACAACCCATATGGAGAGCATCAATTGGGGAAGTCTACTTTTGATATTTCTTCTCTTGACTTTACAAACCATCCTTTTAGTTTCCATTATCATTTCTACACTTAAGACATTCACATAAGTAGGCTTTTTGATCCTTTCCATTCTGTTCTTTTTTCCTATTATTACACTCTGAGTATTCATCTTTCCAATCATGCCCCTTTTTGTTCTCTTTTGGTACTCAGCCCAGCCATGAATTCAGATACCCAATTTCTTCACTGCCCTCCTTGGATCTACTGTCACTTGAATTCTTAATGTGTTCTCTTCTGTTACCAATCCACACTCACTAGAAAGGGATGCTTATTGCCTCTTAGAGATGAAGTGGATCCCAGTCTCTTCTTTTGCAAGTCAGGATTCTTCCTCAGAATACTTGAGCAATAATAACTGCTAAAGCAAAAAAATTCCAGTAGTGTCTGGGATTAATTCTCCAAGTAGTCATGAAGATGAAGCTCAGCATTTTTAGTTTTCAGAATTAAGGCTTGCTATTAATAACAGGCTTACTTAAAAAAGAACTAGAGTGGCGCTTAGTGAAGCCTTTTCAATTTTCAGTATTTTATATCAATATGACCTAAAATGTGATCTATTCTTAACGTAAGTCTTAAAACTAAAGAACCCAATTAAACAAATGAGTCAGAAACATTGAACTTGCTCCTTTATTTATCAAGGAAAAAGATCCAAAGCTACACATTTGTGTGTGGCAAAAGTATGTGAATAATTGTCTCTCTTGTAGCTTCAATTCCAGAGTTCCAATTGGTACTGAAAAATGATGTGGAGCTTATCAGAGCTCAGCTCCATGCCCAAACAGAGGTATGTATAGTTGGCATAAACCTGGAGATCTTGTCATCTTGGTATCACAATTGATGTTAATCCCATTTGTGCCAAATTTTTTTTCCAGGCTTTTCAAGCACTGAGCCACTCAATTACTTTGTTAGAGCAAGAGAGCAACTATCAGCAGGGTAGGATCAATGCATTGGAAGGTGAGAACTATGAATACCACTCTGTTTTGTGGATTTTCAAGTCCCATCATATCAGGTTACATCCTGCTTTAAACCATTTAAGGGATCATCTCTCCCTACATTTAAATTTTTGCAGGGAAAGAGGATCTCTGGAGCATTAATCTATTAGGAATTTCTGTATGCAAAATTCCACAGAGACCTTGGTTTCTTATGAATTTTTGACTCTTCTGGTTATGAAAACATAGCAGACACAGAACTGATAGGTTATATAATCCCCACCCCTAAGCAGCTTGCACAAGCAGAATTGGAGGGAATTTAAAACATTTCTTAACATTTTCAGTGTAACTCAGTCTAGAAGAATTTTAAGAGGGTTATATCTTAGAATCCCTGGTCCGTTTTGAATGCCGTTTCAAGAATTGTACAGGAGCATCTTCATAGAATTAGGACTGGTAAATCGAGATTGCAGAACACCATCCCTATCTCTCCATTACTGAAGAACATATCATATCTTCCATCCTTCCAGAGGAAGTAAAATTTGCTGCCCATTTATCCCGTGGAGCGAAGTTTGATGAGCTAATACGGAAAAAAATCCAGGAGCTTTGGAAAACCATGGCCAAAGAAGTAGAAGAGCTTCAGAGTTCCATGGTCCAGAAACAAAGTTCAATGGAGAATCTATCTCAAGATGTCCTTGAGAGGTAGGAGAAAACTGAGTGGGCAGAAAAAGAAATGAGCTATGTCTTGTGGATTTTGGATAGGTAGAAAAATGGCTAAAATAGACTGGGTCTCCACAATCTTTACTGTAATTCTCTTTCCACTGTTCTTGTGACTGAAGAAGTCTTGGGTAATAAACTGGTGTAGATGCTTATATTGCCAAAGGCTAGAGGACAATAATAAGAATAGTGAGTTTTTATGTTTTTGCTTAATAATAAATTATTTTAGGATTTGAATTTCCAGGGCTACATTGTAAAGCTTCCTGTCCTGTTTCTTTTTCCCCTGGCAGCAAAAAAATTCTTTGGGAAGAGTTGGAATCAGTTCAGGGTGAACTGCGACGCATCCATCAAAAACTGAGTAAGTAGCTACTAGTGTTATCTTCTTGCAATATTTTGTTCATATTCACTTCCAACATGCAGTAGATTCTTCTCTACCAGTATTTGCCCATTTATCATACATTCAGTATTGTCATGGCTCTCCAAATCTTCTGAATCTTTCTCTGCAATAAGCTCTTAAGCATCATCCAGTCAATTTGGAGGCAAATTCAGCTTCCTTTGTAAAAAGTCAATGTCTCCTTCAAATTGAAGAACTCCTGAAGATGTCAGGATTCCAGATGTCCAATCTAGCTTAGAGCTCTAAACTTACCCGGAAAACTTCCACTTAAATACTACCGTGTTTTCCCAAAAATAAGACCTTGTCGTATACTTTTTTGAACCCTGAAATAAGCGCTTGGCCTTATTGCCATGCGCTCAAAAGCCCGATTGGGCTTATTATCAGGGGATGTCTTATTTTGGGGGAAACAGGGTAAGCAAGTTCAAACTTGATCAGTTTTTGAGTCAAGTCAATATTAGCCTCCTGAGTTTCTATCTTGATCATTTGATTTAACTCTCATTGAAGCACAGAGAAACAGGAGTGTCTCCCCACTTGACTAGGGCTGGACAAGTTCTATATGCATCTTTGCTATTGTCAGCATTTGGCCCAACTCTTCTTCCTCCTGCTGAAAAGGTTGTTCACCAACACATACCCTGGGAATTTTCTATCTTTGAGAAGGAAGGTTCTATAACCTTCCAAAACGTAGCTCTATGGCTGAATAGCTTTATTAATCAGGAATATTTTCCTTATTAATTCAGTATTTTAATGCTATTTAATCTCATGCTGCAGTACTTTCTGTTTTAATTTAATAGATATCTTACCCTTGATTGCTTATATGAGAACTAAAAAAAGACTATTTGGCCATTTTCCTACAACTGACTAGCAGCAATTTGTGGAGTCATCCAATAATTCAACTGATGTTCTGCCAAAATAAAAGTAATTGCAATATACTTTCTATCATCTTACCAATGTCTGAATAGCTAACCTCACCAGTGCATTGATGATCAATGTATCAGTACACTGATGATGTTATCTAGTTGGGTAATGAAACATCTGCAAGCAAACAACTATGCTCAGAAAACACCAAGGACTCCACGTGTTAAGTGTCAGATATAGTCCCCTCTGTTCTCTTTTTTTGGTGGTAAATATCCCCTTTGTTATTGTTTTTGCTCCTTTATCTGCTAAGAAAATATAAATAATGATGTGAGTATTGTCCACTGAAGGCAAGGTCTTAAAGGAAATGTTTGCAGCAGAGCAAGAGGTTAAGAGGAAGCCATGTGTGCCTGGTGCTTCACAGAAGTTAGAAGAGAGAGTTTAAAAGATGATGATGGGAGTAATCCTGATTGGGATCCTCATTGGGAGTGTTCTTGGCTCTTATCTTAGAGGACCAGGAGGTCGATATCACTAGAAACCTTGTCAGCATTAAGAAAATGCAAGAGAATCAAATGAAGTGCACCAAGGTAAATTCCTCCACTCGGTTTCACTCTTGAATTGGAATCCCCATGAGAAGAACTGTATATTAGCATTTTTTTTCTAGGAGCCATTATTAAATTGTACATACTCTTATCAGTTAAAAAAACTCAGCTCATTACACTGTAAAATAAATCTCTCTCACCCAATTGTCCATAAGGTGGTTATCTGACAGAATATATATTTTAGGAAATTTCTACCCTGACTTTTGCTGCACAATAAGGTGTGATTCATCAGAAACATCAGAAACAGGAGGCAGAAGGAGAGAAGAGCTTGGCAATCCAGAGGGTTGTTTTCCTTTTGCCTATCCCACCTCCTGAATTCTAGTCAGTTGTTGTGGAGGCAAGCAGCCAGGGGAGAAGTGGGCACAATGAGGTAATGATATATCAGAAAAATAAGATGAGGAAGAAAAAAGAAACTGTCTAAGAGAGGAGGAATGGCATTAACATGGACATAAAAATATCAAGTACCCAGGATTTCTAACATGGAGAAGGTATTGGGGAGAACCAGAGAGTCAGTTTGGTGTAGTGGGGGACACAGTTTCCCATTTTCTGGCACCAGGCTAGAAAGTGGGAGAATTTGAGTTCTAGTTTTGCCTTGAACACAAAACCAGCCGGCTGACCATGGCCCCATTACCTTCTCTCAGCCCCAGAAAGTAGGCAATGGCAAAATGTTTTTGAAATTTTGTCGAGAAAATTGCAGGGACTAGTCCAGGCAGTTGTCAGGAGTCAAGCAGACCTCAAGTCACAATAAATACTTTTTTAAAAAATGTTTATTTAAAGCATTTCTATAGCCACCCATATCAAATTCCAGGCAGGTCCCAACCAACAATTATGTCAGGCCTGCCCCCAGCCCAGGTCCCGAGGAAAGAAAAACCTTCAACTCCATTTGATTGAAGCTATAGGTTCTTTTACTAAGGTTAGGTGTTTACATTGAAAGAAAGCCTAAATCAGAGGTTCCTGTGCAAAACGTTATATTTTTCCCTTCTCCCTGCCCTCCCCCCGACCAGTCCATCTCTATCCAACAGCGTGCTGTTTAGGTGTTTTGAGAACAGCTTGGATGTTTGATGCCACTAGGTGCAGTTTCACATTCTTTTTCCAGACTAGGTGTCCTTGAAGACTAGAATGTGCCAGTTCTCACACCTCTGGTTTCTGTCAAGCCTGTTCCCTCTCATCTCTATCCTCTACATTCCATTGTCCCCTCCTCCCCCCCTAACAATTTATAAGAGGATGCCAGCAAAGCATAGAAGCTGAAGGTCAGATCTCACCACAGGACAACTCACTACGGGATGATTCAACAATTCTATTTAATTACCGTATTTTCCGGCGTATAAGACGACTTTTTAACACATGAAAATCTTCTCAAAAGTCGGGGGTCGTCTTATACGCCGGGTGTCGTTCTCCTGTAACCAGGCAGACCAGCCCGAAAGGCTCTGACGAGCCTTAAATGGCTCTGGCGATCTCAGCTCTGACGATCCCAGCTCTGACAATCCCAGCTGAGTTCCCTGCAACTCAGCTGGGATCGCCAGAAACCATGTAAAAGGAAAAAAGTTTGTTCCCTTTTACTCTGACGATCCAAGCTCTGACGATCCCAGCTGAGTTCCCTGCAACTCAGCTGGGATGGCCAGAGCCATGTAAAAGGAAAAAAGTTTTCCCCCTCCAGCTTGCTTACCTCAGCTGCTAGTCGCAACGCTTGCCTTGCTTCGCTTGCCTGAATCTATTCCATCAGCAAGCAACTCCCTGCCTGCAATCAAGCAAGCAGGGAGTTGTGGACTTCAACTCCCAGAATTCCTCAGCCAGCAAAGCAAAGCTGGCTTAGGAATTCTGGGAGTTGAAGTCTACAAGTCTTAAAGTTGCCAAGGTTGGAGACCCCTGTTCTATTGGGTAAGTTTTTTTCCCCTTTGGGAGCTTTAAAAAAAATAGTCAATTGGGGTTTTTTTAGTTGTTCTTTTTTAGACCTAGCCATTTAAAGTTTAGGAAGTTTTAAATTTAGCTTTCATATAAAAATAAAAATAAAATAAAATAATATTTGTGCAGCTTTCTGAGATTTAGTGTGTTTCTGTAGTGTTTCACTCTAACTACACAAACACACAAATCTCACAAAGCTGTATGTGGAATTTTGTGTGTGTAAAGTGTGAAAATTGGTTTTTCGGACTTTTTGTGGCTGTGTGAGGTTCCTGCTTGTTGCAGGGGCCATTTTGGGTCTAGCACAGCTGCTTTTACATTGTGGGTAAGCCAGTTGTGTTGTGTGGGTTTAGAGTGTGAAAGTTTTTTGGGGGGCTTTTTGTGGTTGTGTGAGGTTCCTGCTTGTTGCAGGGGCCATTTTGGGACTAGCACAGCTGCTTTTACATTGTAGGTGAGCCAGTTGATGTTTTTTAATTTTTATTTGGTGTGCATTGGAAGAGGGGTAGTCTTATATGGCGAGTATAGCCCAAACCCTATATTTTAACAGGAAAAGTTGGGGGTCGTCTTATACGCCCAGTCGTCTTATACGCCGGAAAATACGGTATTTTAAAATAATTAGAAAATATTTTAATTTTTGTCATTCACATTTTATTTTGTTCCTCCTTTGGCATCCTTTCTTTAATTATTATATTCCACTATTTTTGATATTAGTGTAACTCTTGTCCCACGGCGAGTTGTCGTGAGGTGAGGTGGCCATGGCGAGTTGTCCCACAGCAAATTGGCTGTGGCGTGTTGTCCCATCCATTTAGCTGTAGTAGCAAATCTTTTGGAAAGTAAAACAGTGGCAACACTTTAATGGAGGTTGGATTTGGGAAGTGAGTAGAAGAGCAGAAAAGTATTTTTTAGTGATCCTAAGCTTATGTTAGCCTACAGCAGCGGAGGTCTGATTACACAACTCCCTGTCTCCTGTTGTATAGTCGTGTGTAGTCTGAATACCCAAGCCTGAATACCCAAGGCTGATCTAGGTACTGTTTCAACAATTCATCCAGAGGTTTGTAGAAGAGAGCTCCCTCCTGGATATCCACCATAGGCTGTTTTGCATCCCAATGTATTTATTTGACATTTGACCTTTCTCTAGTTCCTGACCCAACTGAGGGGCAAAGTCCCGGATGGTGCCCTAGAAGAGAAAGATCATAAACCAGGGACTGAAGAGCTGAATGAAATCTGGTAAGAACAGCTCCTTGGGAGTTCTTGTTGGCTTTCTTCCTGTCTCAGATAGTGGAAGGAATTTTTTAAATTTGACATCTTTCCCTTCAGTGGACTTGGGTATCAGGCACCTTCTTTCATTTTATGGGATATTGGAATAGGAATCTTCGGGGCTTGAATTTTCTGCACCAGGAAGGTAAACCTTTATAAAGCTGCACCACATCTTTCCTATAAGTAGATATAGTAGACTCAAATTTGAGTCTAAGGAAATGCTTGTATTCCACACCAATCTATTATCTCTGGAAATAAAAGGATAGCATGTTTGAATCCATTATAAATAAAAGAAAAATAAATCTATATAATTGCTCCTATGTTACAAAGTACTTGTTTTGGATCTCCGAGGATGAAATTATAAAATGAAATCACCAGGTGAGGGTTTCAGAGCTACACTTTCATCCTGCATAATTAACTTTTAATATTATCAAAGGATGTAAGGTTCCTGTCTTTTTCTTTCGGTAGCGGGTGAGCCACAAAGGGAATCATAAGTTTTTCTTCTGATACAGGTCAGCTGTCAACACTTTACGCAACTCCATTATGAACAACAGCACATGGAGTGAGAAGAGGAATTCAAGAATGAAAGGTGAGTAGGCCTAGTTACTCCACCTTTGAATAGAAGCATACAGGAATGGACCATAGGCACGCATGGAAAACTCAGACTAGGCCTGCTTCAAGGAGGCACCATCCTTCGGGGTTCAGAATAATCTTCAGTGTGTTTTCTCTAACTTTTCGTCCCAGGTAATTAAGTACAAGCATTAAAGTCTCAAATAACTGAAAATTATAGGCAGCCCAATTTTATCACTTTTGGAGTTAATTTGGAGTGCAGGGTTGGGCTGTGTGAGGGTACCTACCAGGGAAAAACTATTATACATTATTTCTCTTAAATATTCTTCTGGGGTGAATCTGTCAGCCCTTCAAGATAGTCCAGGCAGGAAACAAAACTATGAGTACTAATGCTACTTTTTGGTAAGGTTACAGCAACAGAATTTTGTAAGCCTGAAGGTTCTCCCCTTTCACCTGCCTTTACTTTCCAGAGAATTAGGGGGGGGGGGGTCCCTTCTGAAACATTTCCTCCATTCCAATCACTGCTCTGGATTCAGACTTCATTTATCAGACCATAATCTAGGTTGTGGCTCTTTCTCTTGTCTTTCAAGATTATTCTGACATCTCATGGCAGAATCACATATCAGTGGCAAGACTTGCTTGGTCTCAGCAGAGCACAGTGGGATAAAATGGGAAACTGTGTTTCCTAATTTGTCTACCTCCTCACAGGACCTTTCTGAAAGCAGGAGACAACATAGGATAAATAAATGAAGGGTAAGATGGCTCAACTCCTCCAGAAATCTCTCTCTGGGACCTTTTTACAGATCGAGGGAGCCGACAACAGCGAAAAACTAATTTGGTTGATTCCAATCTCTCTGACTCTGCTCTCCATCAGCACCGCCGCAGTAGCTCAGAGCACAGTTCCTAGAAGGGCAAGGTGAGCCTCCTTTTTTTCTCTTGCTCCTCACATTTGAGAGCATGGCTACCCTGAAATTCCCAGCACAGATTAGGTAGAAGACCACACAGAATTTTCTTTTAGAGTAGACTTACCCTTTTTTACCCTTTCTATGTCAAAAGACACAGAAAAGACGTGACACTGTTAGTAGAAGGAGCAAGACATTTTGGAGTTTGGGAAGGGTGGGGTAAAAGTAAATAGTAGGTGAAAGAAATGGTAACATTGTCAAATGTCTTCATTTTGCTCCTGAATTTTGTGTTGCTACTCCTAGAGACAACAATAGTGGAGCAAGGCATTGTTCATTTGGTTTGTAAACTGCCCATCTCCAGTAGAGAATAAACAGACCCCCTCCCATTCATACATTTACCTGTGTATCAGGCAAACTAATGGTTTCTTTCTTAGGTATGGAAGGAGAATCAAGATCCTAGAAAGAAGCTGGGTCATCTTTGGAGCTGAATTTTTGACAATGCAGATAAAATTAAACCAAACTGCTTGGAAGAGACTTGATTTGGTCATCACTGTGATAGAAAGCTGCCTTAGATTAAGTCGGGCCATTGATCTATCTAGATTAATATTACCTACTTAAAATAGCAGGCAGTGGATCTTCAGGTTTTTAGTCCAGAAACTTTCCTGGTTTCACCTGGAGATACCAAAGGGATGGAAATAGAAACCAAGCCAATAACAATGACCAGCCAATAACCTATAATTATTTGCAGTTTCTCATCTGTGGCTTACCTCTGCTCTACACTTTATCTATTAAATACAGTGTTGTTGTCAGTGTTCCAAGTAATTCACCCATAGAAATTAGAACTCCAAGGCAGGCAGATTCCTCAAAGAACAGTTTTATTGGGTAGATCATATTGGCACAACTGGCGAAAGCTGACTCAAAGGTCCCGTGGCTTTCACCTAATTAAAAGTAAATGTTTCCCCTTTACACCCCCCCCAAGTCACTGGTCATGCTGTCCAATCCACGAGCTGGACGGTTGCATGGTAACTTCACCCCTCCTCTGGCCAGCCATCTGTGGGAATGTCCTTGGATTCCCACAGGAAAGTTTTATTGTTTTGGCTACAAACCAGTGGTGAAATACAGCTGGTTCTATCTGGCTTGGGCGAACTGGTAGCGCCGGCAGCGGGAGGCTCCGCCCACCCACCTGGACGTCATCACATCCATTTTTGACCCTCTGCGCATGTGTGGAGGGGGTGCATGCGCTCACATTTGCGAACCGGTAGCAAAGGTAAGTGGATTTTACCCCTGCTACAACCCCCATCTAAGTATTTCCCACCCTCCCGCTGCTTTGTGGCAGCCCTGAAGCCTCCAAGATGGCCTCAGCCATGATCACTTCAGGATTGATAGTTGCTTCCTCTATTCAGGCAAGTTGTGAATTTTAGGCCTGAATGATCAAGCAGCTCACTAAAGTCCCAGAAAAAGAAACAAAACTACTAATAATTAAGTAATCCTTTCTTCTAAAATATGTCTGCATAATATAGATTTAGCAATCCACTCTGTCATTTCTAAATTTTACTTTCTAAGACTAGAAATTTGAAATAAAACAATTCTTTGCAAGTATCATGAGGTATCCTGCATCAGACTACATTGGTCTTACAGTGGTCCTTCGATTGTTGGAAGATGCCCACTCCCTCATCCACTCGTTCCACTGCTGCCATCTCCAAACTCATGGTCTTTGATGCTCACATTTAGGACACAAGGCCAAGGATTTCCTTCTTTCTTCCCTTGATTATAGACACATCACTTTTCTACTACTTTCCTGGTCCATAGTGTTGGAAAATTACTGGGAATCAATTCCTGTTTCTTTGGCACCCAGTACAGTCCCATCTACAGATCAGAGGAAACAAACCTGCCATTTAATTCAGCTAATAACCGCCCCCCTCCTCCCGTTTATTTATTAAAGATCAGCACAAATAGCAATTATCTGGCAAAAACTGTATAAAGCAGGCAGAAAAGGGCATTTTCATAATTTATTACAATATCAAATGACACAGAACTTTCTAGAGCAAACAATACTGTAGGAAATTAGCATGGGCAAAGGAGTGGCCTTTGGATATTCCTGCTTTAACCTTTTTAGATACACAGCAGCAACAGAATAGAGATGAAGAATAGATCACCAATGAGTCCCCCTCTATATTGTATGAGGAGGATATAACCAACACCAAGTAAATGGACAAGATTACATTTTACAGGAGGTTCTTTAAGGAGAAATCAAAAATTAGGAAGAAACCTTTTAAAATGACAAATCTTTTAAGAAGTGTTTTTATTTAAATTAATTAAATAAATTAAAATTAAATAAATTAATTTAATTTAATTTAATTTATTTTATTTTATTAATTAATTAAAAAAATTAAATAAATAATAAATAAAATTATTATTAAATTAAAATTATTTAATAAATAATTAAATTAAATAAATTAAAATTCATATCTTCCATAATTTACAAGATTCATAATTTATTATTAATTTATTTTGGTAACAAATCTCTTTCATATTTGCATATTTGTACTGCAGTACTGTAGCAAATTGCTGTAAAATTCCTCTTACTCTATGAAGGACATACTATAATCTCTCCTGGCTTCAATTGGACTGTATGATACTGTATGTCCTATAATGTATCATTTTACCCTAACCTGATATATACAGTTTTTGTGAATGATCATCATCATCATCATCATCATTTTTTTCCCGTTGGGCAGCAGACCAAAATGGCGGCTCCGCAGTGAACCCCGAGCTTAGGGAGGCGATGTTCGACATTTTCAGGGGTGCCGTGGATGGAGCCCGAGGAACAGCTGACTGTCGAGGAGGAAGTTAGAGGACGGTGCGGAGAACAGCGCAATCGGGGCCCGGCTGTTGGGGCCTAGGCGGCCGCCAGGGCTAGCGCAGCCGGTGCCATGGGCAGCGAGGTTGCTGTTGCGGCACCGATGACGATGATGGTCAGTGCCGGGGCAGCTAGAGAACCGCGGTTCAGAGGCAGGCTTGGGCGCCACGGGCGGCAGCGCGGAGGCGGCGGCAATGGCTATGGCGGTGAAGGTGACTGTGGTGGCGAAGGCGGTGGCGCTGGAGGCGATGTGGGCAGCGGCAGTATCTGGAGGCTTGGCTGCAAAGACGCCCCTGCTGTTGATGGAGAAGAGGGCAGCATTACAAACGTTAGGATCCCTCAGTTTTTGAGGGATCTGGACACTCCCCCCTTTTTTTCTGAAGCATGGGAGGGGGCTTAACAACTTAATGGGCTGAATGGCCTGAAGATCAAGTTTATGGGGAAGGAACTGAGGATTGTCAGCTGGGGGATGACGGTTGGTCTCCCCCTTAACTGTTCCCCCCCCTTATTAGGCTTAGGCCTAATATGGCCACTCAGCATAAATTTACAGCTTTTGATTGATCTGCAGCCTTATTTGACCATTATTTGACCATCTTGTCTTCCCTGGGTTACCCAGATTATTCAATCATTTATTCCATCCTATGACTACACCTTGCTTTTTTCTGAACTAAACCTCGGCTATTGCTGGTGTCAGGATGGGAGGAGGCACAGACACTGAGAGCCTTGGACTATGGTGGGACGGACCATCTCTCGTTTGACCTTATGACTCTGGTTTGGTCACCTTGAAAGGGCGGCCGTTGAGACTTTTTCCCACCATTGAATAGACTTATTATAATCACAAGACTTCCCATCTTCGTGAGAGGGCGATGATGTCCCGATGTTCTGATGTTTTTAGTATATTGTCTTCTCTTTAACATCTTTTCCTCCCTTATTTAATCTACCTGTTTTTAACCATCTCTAACACCCTTTAGTAGAAAATGATCCTTCATCACTCTCAGCTGGTTGCTATTCTTTAATGTATTCAACTGCGGAGCTCCTTGCACTGCAAGACTCCCCCCTCTCGCAGGTTTGGCCCTCTCAACTATTGAGAGCTGCCCTTGATGACGGGTTTTGGAACCCCAAGAGGTGGTGCACTAAAAAACGGAAACTCTGGGTTTTTTTAAATAGATCTTTAGATCCAATTTTAAGGGGATCCGGGAGGAGGGTGGTTTTTAATAACGAAAATGAGACTGGGGGGTCTCTTAAGGATCAGCAGCCATGCCATTCTGACAGTCCCGGCAGGTTGGGGGGGTTGGGAGTCGTGGGAGATGCTCGGAGGAGGGTGGGACATTCTATACCTGTGATGGTGGGAGGGGGCAGAAGAAATCGAAGTAGGGGTGGGGAGCATCACACCAGATGCATTCGGATGGTGACTTGCTCCCATACCTCCTGCTCACCCTGCTTTCCTGGGGATATGAGAGCGAGGGACCCTGGTCTCCATCTGGTATATGTGAATGCCAGGTCCGTGATGAATAAGGCCCTCCTCAAACGAGATCTTATTGATGAGGAGGGTGCGGACCTGGCCTGTATCACAGACACCTGGTTGGGGCAAGAAGGGGGAATCCCTCTCTCTGATTTATGCCCCTCAGGCTTTCATGTCCTGCACCAGCCACGACACCAGGGAAGGGGCAGGGGGGTGGCATTGGTTATTAGAGAAAGTCTGAGTCCTAGGGAGGTCACTGTCCCTCAGATAGGCGGGTGTGAGTCTCTTCTATTGAAGTGGGACCCTGGAGTTCAGTCGGGCTTGTTGATCACATACCTATCTCCCAGCTATGTTGCGACAGCCCTGCCTGCACTGCTCGATGTCTTGACTGAAGTGGCACTCGAACTCCCAGCCTTTTGGTTTTGGGAGATTTTAATCTGCCTTCGATCGGCGAGTCATCTGAGACAGTCCGGGAGTTCATGGCCTCCATGGCAGCCATGGACCTGACTCAGGTTATTCAGGGCCCAACTCATAGGGGAGGACACACACTCGACCTGGTTTTTCTCTCTGGGCAGTGGATAAATGGTCATGGTAAGGGGGAACTTTCCATCACTCCCCTGTCATGGACTGACCATTGCCTCCTTAGACTGGACTTTCAATCTGCCAACCCTTGCCGCTGGGAGATGGGACCCATAAAATGGTTCTGCCCCAGGTGCCTGATGGACCCAGAAAGGTTCTTGAAGGAACTTGGGACATTCCCCACCTCTCAATCCTGTGATTCAGCTGAGGCTCTGGTGGCATCCTGGGAATGGGTGGCTACCGACGCCTTGGACAGAATTGCACCTTTGCGGCCTCTAACCCGACGCAGATCCCGGATTGCTCCTTGGTTTTCCATGGAGCTCCGGGAAATGAAACGTCAGAAAAGACACCTAGAGGAGAGTTGGAGGTCCTCCCAATCTGAATCTGACCGAACACAGTTAAGAACCCATATTAAGTCTTATCTAGTGGTGATGAAAGCGACGAAACGAGATTACTTCGCTGCCCTCATTGCATCTGCAGAAAACTGCCCAGCGGCCCTGTTTCATGTGACCCGCTCCCTCCTCAATCAGGGAGTAAGGGAAGACCCTTTATAGAGCAGAGCTGAGGATTTTGTACAGTTTCTGCATGATAAAATCATTCAGATCCGGATCGGATTGGATTCTGACTGG